TGGGAGCAGCAAAGATTGCAAGATTCAGTCTTTACTGTGTGAAAAAGTTTCTGGGAACAGCAAAGGTAGCAAGATTGACTGTGCCAAAATTTTTTCTGGGAGCAGCAAAGATTGCAAGATTCAGTCTTTACTGTGTCCAAAAGCTTCTAGGAACAGTAAAGATAACAAGATTGACTGCGCCAAAAAATTTCTGGGAGCAGCAAAGGTTGCAAGATTCAGTCTTCACTTCACTGCGTGAAAAAGCTTCTGGGAACAGCAAAGGTAGCAAGATTGACTGCGCCAAAACTTCTGGGAACAACAAAGTTAGCAAAATCCAGCTTTTGCTGCTCCACAAAATTCTGAAGGCGGCAAAGATTCTAGATGGCCTTTACAGCCTTTATCATGTCAAACCCCTGGTCAAATATATACTTTCAAGATTCAAATCTTACTGCTCCGCAAAATTCTGAAGGCAGCAAAGATAGCCTTTGCAGCCTTTATCATGTCAACCCCCTGGCTAAATACTTGCACAGGAAAGCGAAAAACATAGAAAATTTTTGCTAATAAACAACAGCACGCAGGACCCTAAGCATGCGTGAGCCTCACACATGCAGCTCAGGCGCGAAAGCAGGCGTCACACAATTGGCAATTGGAAGGAAAGCCACCCGAAAACGGATGCTTCTGACGCAGCTGTGAGGCACTTACAACACAACCCAGTGGATTGGACCTTGTGACAGTTGCAACAAATTTCTCACTGTGCCACTGTGACACAACGCGCTGCATTTTTCAAGCTGCGCGCACAACCCGCGGGCGCGGAACCCGCGCGTCAACGCCACTCATAGTGTTGCTACATACTCTATACCATACGCCGTCTCGGATTATATACCGCTAGTCATAGCGCAGCACTCTTAGGCAGTTGTACTCGCAGTCATCCAGTCATCATCCCGCAACTTCCGCGCGCGGAACCCGCGCGAGTGTGGCGGTTCCGCGCGGTTTCTGTGCTAGTAGTATAGTATATAGTCGTATAGTAGCAACAGTAGTAGTAATAGTGGCTTTCATGGTAGCAGTTGGCAGTTGTTGTAGATAGCCGGTGTTGGTGGGTCTAGTAGTAGTAGTAGTAGTAGTAGTAGTAGTAGTATAGTATATAGTATATAGTATATAGTATATAGTAGTATTAGTAGTAGTAGTAGTAGTAGAAGTAGTAGCACAGTAGTAGTGGTAGTAGCAGTAGCAGTAGCAGCAGCAGTAGCAGCAGCAGTAGTAGTGGTAGTAGTAGTCGTCGTCGTCGTAGTCGTCGTCCTTGTAACAGCTGTGAGCCTGTCATCATTGTAGACGTGGATCATCTGGCGCTGCAACGGCCTCAACAAAGTGCCAAGAGTCAAATACCAACACTGGGACCTAAACAAAGTTGAGCATCATGTGGAGCACATTTCAATAGAATGAAAAAGGATGGCCGCTCTGAGATCCAGGCATTGAAGTTTCCCATGGCCCCATCACCCACTGAACCCCATCACTATTTTAAATGGCAAATTGCCACTTGAAAGTTGAATTGCGCCAATTGCCAACTGAAAATTAAAACAAAACAATGAAAAATAGCAGCAGTGAGCAAGAAGGCCGGGCAAGAGTAGCAGCAAAAAGGGGAAACACTTGGCGCACTTTTGGAGGGTGTGTTTTAAGGAAAATGTGTTTACTGACTGTTACAGCTATTAGGCAAGACCCAAAGTATTGCACCCTTCTGCACGTTTTTGAAGGTGCAAGCGTTTACTCCCACTAGCAAATCCACAAGCCCACTGGCAGCAACAGCGGACCAACTTACCAGCGCTAAAGCGGTAAAGCCCTTAGATTAAATCGTTGCAAAAGTGCATATAAAACACTTGATTGTGTATACTACGTGTATATTCATCTACAGTGTACTGTAATCTGTTTCTATCTGTTCCGGATTTTGAGGCGCCCCCTTGAAGAACTCTACGTAGCTTTGCTGGGTTGATTCGGTGGAAGTCTGACAGACATGGTGCACAATATCAACAGCTCAATGGCTCCTGCTGAGTGGCACCATCGATTTTTTGTGGACGGGTGTCGGGCAAAAGGTGGGCATCATCTATGTCGCGCTTCCAGTACCTTACTGAGACATGGAGACATTCTGAGGCTGAGACCTTGGGCAAGGTGACATCAGGGGCTAAGGCCAGAGCGTGTATCCACCCTTTTTGTCTGTCTCTTCCTCGAGGGTCGCATGTGTTGCATTTGACTTGCTTTTGATTGTTTTTGCAATCTTTTGCATCTGCTCGCGTCCTTGCTTTCAGCCATGAACGTATCCTTCACAAGTACAAGTTGAAGCAGACGGATCGGCGGCAGTTAGAAAGTTAGAAACTCTGATGTACCGTATCTGTATTTATACATATACAATATATACCGACGTAGTGAAAGATAGAATGGGGTGGCGAATCCCAAAATCTTATTCCCCGTAACTTAGAATGCGCTTAGAACGCCCCATTTTTGGGAACCATTTTGAAAGGGGTTCCACTGAGAATAAGCAGTCAAAACACAGATAGAACGCTCATACATTTGACATTTCTGGAATTGATGGACAATATCAACAAAAAACAACACTCACAGCTGACAACTTGGTCACCCTCCGCTGGTGGTCCGGCTCAGGACACGCCACATGTAGACACGTATATTCATTCAAATAAACACACTCTTGGCATGGGGCTTCCACAAGAGGTATGATGTGAGTGGACCCTCGTTTGCCAGGGTCTGTGAGCGTGTGCTTTGCTGTGTTTGAGTGTTTGTTTCCTTGCAAGCTTGTTACAACAGACTCCACATCAAGGTTTGCCCCTTTTCTTGTCAACACGTCGGAAGAGCTCACACCGCCAGAGCACAGTCATTCCACAGATAGAATGCCCATAGACACGCACGCATGTGTACATATGTGGGCAGAAGATGTTTGTACACAATGTTTGGTTGATGCTGGCGCTTGCAAACTTGGTTGAAAGGAATCAAGGCTTGCCCCTTTTTCTTGTCAACACGTCGGAAGAGTTCACACCGCCAGTGCACAGTCATTCCA